CAAATTTGTAATTTTTCACGTAAAATCACATTCTTTAAAATGGTGCAAGAAATTATATACCTTATAATTCAAAATTTTTTCGACTACTTTTAAATAAAATAATTTAAATAAAATATTTACTGAAAGTTATTTTTTGCATGGTAAAAAACGCAAGGATAAAAATGCAAACGCAAACACCTTTGGATAAAAAGCGCAAGAAAATACGAAATACGCAAGAAGCAAAAATTAGCATTAAGGAGTCCATATTTTGGATCACTTTCCTGACCAAACTATTCGGAGCATATTTTCCAGATTGCGGCTACCCCCTATATTTTGGAGTTCAAAATTCCGAATTCATCATTAAAAAAGGTATGTTTATTCAGAGGAATCGCGTTTTTGTGTGAGAATCCGTAACTAAAAATAAAGTTTGCACTAATTAGTTAGCATATTTGAAGTTACCCCTACGAACCACTAAGACTGAATTTAAGAACATGAAGATCCGATCATTAGATCAAAAGCTACTCATCGTAGTCCATTTATCTTTTGCGTACTCTACATAATTAATACGGTTGAAAATTTGGAATCAGATAAAAAAGCGAAACTCATGAGAAACTTTAAAGGAAACGTGAATTAATCAACGATCAGATTACTGCGTGCTTTTTATACGATATCCATAAGGTTGTAGACGTGACCCCATTTCCGATTTTTTTCCTTTAATATCCAGTTCGAGAAACAATTCGATGTCCCGACTATCCCATCGAATACGCTCCAGTTACTGCTCTCAATTCGAGAAATCACGTTCACATAATAAACAACCAGCTTTACAAGCAGCCATAATCCTCAAGCGCATTTTAAAAAACCGGGTGTCATGATTCCGAAGAGTAAAGTTATGGGAATACCATTTATTTTCTGTTATCATCCAATGTTGCGTTCGTTAAAGCCGGTTTAGAGAGAAATGAATGCGATATAATCAAATAAATAAACTTAAATATCAATCTTTTTGAAAGAACATGTTCGGAAACTCTAAAATGAATATTTATGTCTGATAACGTTTGGATAGAATCTTCGATTTGAAAGTCCATTCTTCCGTAATTTTCAACAATTTTCTTCCGTAATTTATCTTTCAATCTTTATGTATAATGAATTGATAAAGTAAAACTTTTTAGACATCATTGGAGAACAAGCTATCTCTTTAAAGTTTAATTCGTATAGTAAATACTAAACTCAAGTTAACTATTTTTCTTAATTTCTTTTACTTTTTAAATTCGTAATTTTCGTAGTAATTGTAGTTTTCAAAAGTATTTAATGTCAACGGTTAATAGCTTTTTAAAATTAACAGTTTAATAAAATTATGCACTTATAACAATAAATAATTATTCCAAGCGAGTACTTTAAATAACTCTTATTAAGAAGAGAGAAAAATAAATTTGTTAATGATATGAATTGAAATTAGATGTTAATGATATGAAGCTGAAATCAGATAATAATGATAGGAAGCTGAACCTATAAATTAAAAAATTTTCTTCCTGTGTACACCATTATATTTTTAATAATACTCATAAATGTTTTGGTANTATATATATATATACAATTGATTTAGACATAATTTATAACCAAAACTACTAACTGACACATAAATATTAAAACACTTATACTTGAAACTAGTTATTTTATTGATTATATGTTTCATTGATTATATGTTAATTAATAACTTTAACCATAAAAACAATTTAAATTATTTAAAGTTTAAACTTTTGCTCGTTAAATAGAAAAACCGTTTTTTAATGTGATGCTGCCCGTTTAACACTAGAAAGACGGAAAATTAGTATATACCTATATTGCCGAAAAGCAGTCAAAATGACTAGATTTTGAATGCGCCAATAAATTTGTTTAAATTTAATTTTTAGCATTTTTTATATTATTTACAGTTATGTCACAAGTTATTAGTAAATATTATCAATAAAAAATATATATGTTGTTCAAAAAGATACAAAATTCTAAGTAATCGTGTCATTGTATACATCATTGTTTTTCTAATTGAAATTAAAAGCAGTCAAAATGACTTCCTTAGGCAATCTAGTGTTAAGTATAACCTCCAAAATTCATATTTAAAGGCCAAAAAATAAATCATTAAAACATTTATACAAGTAGATAATAATATAACTCATTTTAAAAATATATTTGTAAAAAAAATTTTTTTAGAAGATTTTTAAAACATTAGAAGTTATAAAAGATCCCAAAGCGCATCTGACTACAATTTTAAAAACTTTACACTAAATGGGATGTTGTTTTATAATATAAGTTCTTTTCTTTTTTTTCTTTTCATCCTTAATTAATTACAAACCGACACATTATTATAGCATTTAAATGTAAAAAAGTTAATTTTTTTCCTTATTTATGCTATATATATGCTTTCATAAGTAATGATATTTTACGACAACTTAAATAAAAAAAAAAAAAAAAAAAAAAAATTTTTAAAANAAAAAAAAAAAAAAAAAAAAAAAAAAAAAAAAAAAAAAAAACTTTTATAAAAGTAAACGTTACTTGAATTTATAATGACCTCACATAATATTTATGAAGCAATAAATGTGCAAATATAGACATTTTTAAAATTGAGCATCTGAAATTTTAAGAAAAAAAAATCCATACTTATTTGTAATTTTGTATTCTAAACAACCAAATTATCTACAGTGATTTTTATCTGACACAATTGCAACAACATAGGAAGGAGTTTAAAAAAAATACGGAAACATAATACGTAAATTACGAAAAACTGACTAGATTAAATTGTTTTATATTGTAAATCACTATTAAAAGCTAAATTTAACAATTTAGTTTTAGTTTTTGAAATCATAATTAAATTCGCGTGTAAAAAAGGTAACATATTATTCGTAAGTTAATTAATATGCAAGCAATTAAAGTTATGAAATTGTATAGCTGAAATTAAAAAAAAGAAGAAATGTTATTCATTAGCGTTCATCCGGAAGTATTTTGTATAAGAAGATGCGTAAAATTTACTTAAGGTTTAAAATCGTATATCTAACTTGAAAAAATCATTACTATAAATGTGATGTTACTCGTTTTAGTTTAATTATATTCTCTGCTATCATAAATTAATAAAAATATAGCGACCCAACCTTTTACCTTTACTCAAACTTATTCCATTTAATGCAACTTCATTTAACAACGCTGCATAGATAAGGATTTTATACGAAATGATATAGATAATGATACGGAAATAAAAGTGGAAATCATTCAAGGCCTGAAAAATTACATCTGATAAAGGTTACAAATTTACAACTATTTGCCCCTTTTTTATATTCTTTCATTAAACAGGAAAATGACTTAAAGGTGTGGTTTTCTAAAAATAAGAAGTAGAATTGTAGAAATATTTTTTTTTTTTTAAAATTAAGATTTTATAAGCAGTAAAATCTCCTAAATACAGTGCCCAATCTAAGGGGTCGACAATTTTGCACTCTAATCCTAAATGGGAAATACCGATTTTCGAAATATTACAAGCATTCTACGAAACCCTAATAGTTTTGTGTTTTGTAAAGTAAGAAAATGTATTTCGTTAGAACGGGAAAAAAAAACTTTTTTTTTTAAATTCATAATAATGGATAAAACGGCAATGAACTACAAATAACTCTTTTAACTGATAAGCATTTTTATCTTGTCAAAATGTATAAACTTTGTATTATTATGTAATTTTAATGATTATATTTATTATGTAACTTTGGTTATGTAGTAAATATTTATAATAATTAACTACACGGGGAAAAAAAGTATGGTCAAAACTATCAGCATATGGAAAAATTTACCGTGCTTCTTGCTCTATAGGAACATCAAAAAGCTCGTTAATTTTTATCGAAGAGCTTGGGTAATCGATGATTTTGGTAAAATTGACAGTAAAATATCGTTTTTAAATTTGTGTTAAAATTTTGTAAATGTGGTGAGATTTAGTTATTTCATCACGATACCTTAGAGCATTGCATAAAGACCATTTATTCGTTTAAATTTACTTTTCAGTTTCGTATGTTGTAATAGGGAATTTCCGATAAACCGTTATCTCATATGAACGGAAACATTACTAAATGAATAGTTTGAATGCAGTATATTTTGATTTTATTACCAGAATTTTTTTTTTATCAGAAATATCATTATCGTGCAGTACGATAATTTTTCCAGATTTTTTTTTCATCGCATATATTTAATATGTAATAATTATTATGTAATTTTGTTATTGTCGTGATGAACCTTTGGATAAGGCATTGAGCTATCATTGGACCACAATTAGATCTCCAGTGACGGCTTGTAGCCCACCCAGTTTCAAAACGATGAGTACCATTTTCTCTAAAAAGTAAAGGCAGCTTGTGCGTCATACTGACCACATTTCCACAATCATGCCATTGGTCATGAAATTGTCGAACCTTAACCTTCATGGCCCCCCTGGCCTACAATAGCTGTTGAGGGAATGTTTTGCTCGTGCTCTTTAATTTTGTCATTATTATGTATATTCTGCTTATTTTTTAAATGTTCAAGAGTTTACATGAGAGGGGATAGCGCGTGCGCCTCCCATTGAAGTGACCTAGGTTCGAATCCCAGTGGATGCTGGTTGATATGAATTCTGTTCCCTGCTCGCACTGACCACAGTGCTGACGTAAACTATCCTCCGTGGTAGATGTATCATAAGTTAGAATCAAATGTCGTTGGATTAACCGTGGGGTTTTTTCGTGGTTTAACGCAATATTACACAAATGCGGTTAAGTTTCATCGAAAAGTCTTCCCGAAGTCTAGTTTATCCCAATGCTTGATTCAGGAGTTCCCTTGTCTTATGAGTTGAGTTTAGAGTTACAAGGCTGCTACGATAGTGAAGTTATAGAGGTAAACTCAGAATTGCATCGGCTTTTCAGCGCCGGTTATAAAGTAAAATAAAAAGTATACACGAAATAATTTCTTTGTAAATATTTATATTATACAGTTACCTAATTTTATTTATAATTCATTTATTTATTTTGTAGCAACTGCATTCACTGGCCACAACACGCCTCCAGTATTTGATTTCAAAAGAGAGTGGGAGATTAAAGAAGACTGGGATATAGGTAAGTTTTAATGCATATATTTTTAAATTTCATTATTTTTTATATTGAGTTCGTTATTTTAATTATTTCAACAACAGCAAAAAAAAACAACTGTTTTTTAATACGAAGTTAATTATATATAAAAGAAAAATTCAACGTTAAAATGACATTTTTCATGTTTTTTTTTCTTTTTATGCATCATTATTTAAAGAAAAAAATTAATTTTTTTTTTAAGAAACTTGATTTGTATTTAGTATTTTAGACTTATTTTTAAAATTTTTCTCGATATAATGTAAACATTTTGAATATATTAATGCCAGTTTAGATAGAAAAAAAATAACACTATTCTGAAATAAAAAAAGTTGAACAATCGGTACACTTTTAAATTATTTTTATATTTTTTCGGTTTGAATTATTTGTTTCAACACTGATAAGCGAGCAAAATAACCATCGGTACAACGTTTTTCTGTAACATAAAAAAGATATGTTTATCTGTTTCTACTTCAAAATATTATTTTTAAATACTTTCTTGATATAGTGTAAAAATAATACGAAGTGTCCATTTAAACAAAAATAACAGAGTTCTTTAATCCCTTTTCTAACAAAGATTTGAAATCAGCTTGTTTCGTGGTTAATTACTTACAGGATGAGCAGTAAATACTTGCAAATTCTGAAATGCAGTTAGGCGGAACTAATCCATACTAAAAATATGTTCCAGTTTCCTCAAAAATTAATTTTAGAGATATCGATGCTTTTAAAACTAGGTTTGCGTGTTTAAAATAAACCACTAAGAATAGATAACGTTAACGAAGACCTTATCTACATAAAACATAACATAGAAGCTTAAATATTACGGTCTGAAAACTATTTAAGTCCTTTTATATTTTTGAAATTAATATTTATTTTCAAAACGATGCAGAAAAGCTAATGTTCCCTAATATCAATGCACAGTCGAAAAAATTAAAAATGAATCACTTTTGATACCTTGCACTGTGGGCCAGAAGACCATGATCTTTGGCCAAAAGAAAAAAATAAAATTTTCAACTAAAATATGTGTAGGCAATTTTAATGCAGCCCAAATTAAGTATTCATAATCATTCCAAACATTATAATTTATTTTTTGGACCGACGAAAGTACAATGTAATGAAAAATATGTTGCAAAAAAAATTTATAAATATAACTTTTAAAATTTTTTTTCAGAAATATATGTAGGAATTTCACCTTACTGTTACATTTTTATCAGAGAAATTAGTCTGAAATCATAGCACAATTTTTCAATTTGTTGGATTAGTTAATACTTTGTCAAACTTATAATTTTTATCTTATCATTTGACATTTTACAATGTTTGACTGACTTTCGAAACTTAGCTCCCAAAAGTTCCACGAGGTAATTAGCTAAACTTTTTTTTGTTGTCTTCTTTGATGTTTCTTCTTTCGAAAAAACCTGCCCCATTTTGCTCGTATTGCAAAGGTGGACTAAATATACCGAAAAACAAAAATTATGTTTTTTTTTTCATGTTTTCGCGTTATTTTGTAATTAATTCGTGTTATTTTGTAATATTACTTCGGAAATATAATTTGCTTTTCATTTTTAATATGAAATTGCAAAAATTATTATATTTTCATTGCTATTTTTAATTATTTAAACGTACTATTATTTTTTTTATTTTTGCNGTTGAAGATGGAAACATACTGCAATTTTGTTCTATGATGCCAGTTGTTAACTTCTGAAGTTTTTATTAAAATATTTTTATTCTAAGAAGATTGCAGGTGATAAGAACATTGTTGTGAGGGAATGACGCGAAACACTAGGGACAAAGTTTAAAATAGTGCTGTGTTAATATTTTTATCAAAAATTATATTTTAAATTGATTTTCTGAATTCTATATTTCAATATTCTGAAATAACAAACACGAATTTGTAATTTTTTTAATTTTTATTTTAGAAACAATTTTTTTCTTTTTTTAAATCAACAGTGGGGGCAAGTGAGGGAATGACGTATTGGTATATTTTAATTACCTAAAATAAATAAAAAATAAAAATTGATAATTTTATTTCTATTCTTATGTTAGCCTGCATTCTGAAGGACACTTTTCCTGAAATTTTTTTTTTCGTAAGTTGTAAAACAAGAAAATGACTGTTTTTGTGAGAATGATCCATATATATATAGATATATATATATATATGTATATATATATATATATATACTATACTATACTATACTATGCGATTGATTTGGACATAATTTATTACCAAAACAACTAACTGACACATAAATAATAAAACACTTGAAACTGGTTATTTTATTGATTATATGTTAGCATAATTAATAACTTTAACCATAAAAACAATTTAAATTATTTAAAGTTTAAACTCTTGCTCGTTAAATAGAAAAACCGTTTCTTAATGCGATGCTGCCCGTATTAAGTATAACCTTCAAAATTCATATTTATATTCATATTTAAAGGTCAAAAAATAAATCATAAAAGCATTTATACAGATAGATTAAAATATAACTCATTTTTAAAATATATTTGAAAAAATAATTTTTTTAGAAGATCTTTAAAACATTAGAAGTTATAAAAGATCCCCAGGTGCATATAACTACAATTTTAAAAACTTTACACTAAATGGGATTTTATTACCAGAATTTTTTTTTATCAGAAATGTCATTATCGTGCAGTACGATAATTTTTTTCCGATATTTTTTCAATGTACTATATATTTAATATGTAATAATTATTATGTAATTTTGTTATTCCCGCGATGACCCTTTGGATAAGGCACTGAGCTATCATTGAGAAGGACAGGACCACGTTAGATTTCCAGTGACGGCTTGTAGCCCACCCAGTTTCAGAACGACGAGTAACATCTTCTCTAAAAAGTAAAGGCGGCTTGTGCGTCATACTGACCACATTTCCACAATCATGCCATTGGTCGTGAAATTGTCGAACGTTAACTTTCATGAACGAACCCCTCCCCCTGGCCCACAATCGCTGTTGGGGTAATGTTTTACTCGTGCTCTTTAATTTTGTTATTATTATGTTTATTCTGCTTATTTCTTAAATGTTCAACAGTTTACATGAGAGCCGTGGTTGAAAGGGGATAGAGCGTGCTCCTCCCATTGAAGTGACCTAGGTTCGAATCCCAATGGATACTGGTTGATATGAATTCTGCTTCCTGCTCGCACTGACCACAGTGCTGACGTAAACTATCCTCCGTGGTAGACGTATTTTAAGTTAGAATCCCTTGCCGTTGGATTAACCGTGAGGGTTTTGCGTGGTTTAACGCAATGTAACACAAATGCTGGTTAGTCTTCCACGTAGGCTAGTTTGCCTCAGTGCTTGATTCAGGAGTTCTCTTGTCTTATGAGTTGGGTTTAAAATTACAAGGCTGCTACGAAGGTGAAGTTATATAAATAAATTTAGAATTTCCTTCGACTGTTTAACGTCGGTTATAAAATGAAAAATAAAATTTACTCGAAATAATTTTTTTTGTAAGTTTTTATATTATACAGTTACCTAATTTTATTTAATATTCCCCTATTTATCTTGTAGCAACTGCATTCACTGGCCACAACACGCCTCCAGTATTTGATTTCAAAAGAGAGTGGGAGATTAAAGAAGACTGGGACATTGGTAAGTTTTAATGCATAGATTTTTAAATTTCCATATTTTTCATATTGAATTCGTCATTTTAATTATTTCAACACTAGTAAAAAAAAATCACTGTTTATTAATACGAAGTTAATTATATATAAAAGAAAAAATCAACGCTAAAATTAAATTTTTCACATATTTTTTTCTTCTTTTTATGCATCACTATTTAAAGCAAAAAGTTAATTATTTTTTTAAAAAAACTTGATTTGTATTTAGCATTTCAGACTTATTTTTAAAATTTTTCTCGATATAATGTAAAAATTTGGAATATATTAATCCCAGTTTAGAAAGAAAAAAATAAACTATTCTGAAATAAAAAAGTTGGACAATCGGTACACTTTTAAATTATCTTTATATTTTTTCGGTTTGAATTATTTGTTTCAACACTGATAAGAGAGCAATGTTAACCAGCGGTATAACATTTTTTTGAAACATAAAAAAGATATGTTTTTCTGTTTCTACTTCAAAATATTATCTTTAAATACTTTCTTGATATAGTGTAAAAATAATGCGAATCCATTAGTGTTCATTTAAAAAAAATAACCGAGTTCTCTAATCCCTTTTTTAACAAAGATTTGAATGTTTCGTGGTTAATTACTTACAGGATGAGCAGTAAATACGTGCAAATTCTGAAATGCAGTTAGGCGGAACTAATCCATACCAAAAACATGTTCCAGTTTCCTCAAAAATTAATTTTAGAGCTATCGATGCTTCTAAAACTAGGTTTGCGTGTTTAAAATAAACCACTAAGAATAGATAACGTTAACGAAAACCTTATCTACATAAAACATAACATAGAAGCTTAAATATTACGGTCTAAAAACTATTTAAGGCCTTATATATTTTTGAAATTAATATTTAATTTCAAAACGATGCAGAAAAGCTAATGTTTCCTAATATGAATGCACAGTCGACAAAATTAAAAATGTATCACTTTTGATACCTTGCACTGTGGGCCAAAAGGCCATGATCTTTGGCCAAAAGTCAAAAAGTAAATTTTCAACTAAAATATGTGTAGGCAGTTTTAATGTTGCCCAAATTAAGTATTCATAATCATTCCAAACATTATAATTTACTTTTTGGACCGACGAGAGTACAATGTAATGAAAAATATGTTACAAAAAAATTTTTTAAATGTATTTTTTAAATTTTTATTTCAGAAATATATATAGGAATTTCACCTTACTGTTACATTTTTATCAGAGTTATTAGTCTGAAATTATAGTACAATTTTTCAATTTGTTGGATTAGTTAATACTCTTGACAAACTTATAATTTATATCTTATTATTGGACATTTTACAATGTTTGAATGACTTTCGAAACTTCGTTCCAAAAAGTTCTACGAGGTAATTAGCTTAA